AGGTGGGGACCACGTTGTTGTTTTTGCTTTTATTTATTTAGCTTTTTTCTGGAAAGGAATGTGAAGAAAGAAGCTTCTGTTTATTTTTGCCATTTTCACTTTTGTAACCTCTTGTGGCCCAGCAGGAAGAAATATGGTCGTGTTTTATAAGTGTTTTGCCTTAAGGGGATCTTAGAATTCGTATCAGCAGTGCCTATGCCAGTGCTTTATGCTATTTGCTAAGATCTGTGGGAAACAAATGCAGAGAAGACCAAGTGTAAAGTTAGGCTTTGTTCTTTAAACATTTCCATCAGTGTGGTTCTGGGTCATTCACAGAACATTTCACACCTTTCCTTTTGTTTTCATGCATCTGACTCTTAGTATAACGACTTTTCATTGCGGGCAATGTTACAAATTTGAATCTAAGGTCTGCCACTGGGCTAGCTAGCACGGGATATGACCTTAACAGCCAAATACCTTATCCTGTCTCCACTCTGGTGTCTCCTTCTGTAAAAGGAGGACACTAGTGCTCACTTCACTGGGCTGCTGTAGGATCAATCCCATGTCAGCACAGAGCGTTTGACAGATGTCCACTATCATTGTTATTAAAGGAAAACAAGACTCAAGGGGCGTCTGGGTGGCTCAGCCGGTTGAGCATACGACTTCAGCTCAGGTCATGATCTTGTGGCTCGTGAGTTCAAGCCCCGCATGGGGATCTGTGCAGATAGCTCAGAGCCTGGGGCCTGCTTCAGATTCGGTTCCCCTCTTTCTCTCCCTCCCCTACTTGCGTGCGCTCTCTCTCTCTCTCTCTCAAAAATAAACGTTAAAAAAAATTTTAAAAAGAAAACAAGATCAAGGAGACGTGGTGACTCAAATGGAGCCATCTGTGCCCATTGTTATAGGAATTATAACCCCTATAACCTGTGTTCTTTATGATTAAAAAACTAAAAAAAAATTTTTTTTTCATGTTTATTTATTTTTGAGAGCGAGAGACACAGAGCATGAGCAGGGGCAGGGCAGAGAGAGAGAGGGAGACCCAGAATCCGAAGCAGGCTCCCAGCACTGGGCTGTCAGCACAGAGCCCAACACGGGACTTGAACCCATGAACTTTGAGATCATGACCTGAGCCAAAGTCGGATGCTTCACCAACTGAGCCACCCAGGCACCCTGATTAAAATATTTTTTGAAAGACTCTCATAGCATTAGCAAGCTTCAAGAAAAGTAAGCTGCTTTTGCTAGAGTAATTCACTTAGTGGACCACTTCCTGTCTAAGTGACTGAATCCACTATTACCATAATAATCCCCTGGGGTGGGTGTATGGAGGGAGAAGTTATAAGCATATTAAGACTGCCCCGGGGCGCCTGGGTGGCTCAGTCGGTTGAGCGTCTGACTTCCGCTCAGGTCATGATCTCGGGGTTTGTGAGTTTGAGCCCCGTGTTGGGCTCTGTGCTCACAACTTGGAGCCTGGAGCCTGCTTCCAATTCTCTGTCTCCTTCTCTCTCTGCCCCTTCCCCACTCATGCTCTGTCTCTCTCTGTCTCTCAAAAATGAATAAATGTTAAAAAAAAAAATTTTTTTTTTTAAAAAGACTGCCCCATCTTTTAAGGATTTACCGTCAACAATAAGAATTGTAGGAGAAATGAAATACTCTATTTCTGGAATGACCTATGGGTACTGGGCACCAGACACTCAGAACATCTGCCTCTTCTTTCTTCTAAAGTGTTTTGTGTGAGTTTTGTTTTGTTTTTGCTAAACAGTCATAAATTTCCTTAATTTTTCCCAAAAATAGTCAGCATTTCTTCTTACGTATCTAGTATTTGATGGAGAAGAGAGGGTGGCTTTCATTCATCAGATTTACCCAGTTGCTGTTGTGTGCCAGGCAGTGTCCTAGGCTGTAGGGAGTCAGGCATGACTGTGCCCTCAGGGAGACACCAAACAGCAAAGAAGGAATGTTGTGATAAGGGCCAGGAGAAAGTTCAGGTCCAAGAACACCTTACACAGATGGGACTGTGGGGCGGGCAGCCGGGTTGAGATTGGGAATCAACTGGGCTGTCAGAGGTTTCTGGGCAGACAAGGAGGTTCTCTAGGAAGAGAGAACAGCAGAGAAAGGCACTTCTTTGCCAGCTGCATGGGGTGTCGATTTAGGCCAGTATGACTAAGCCCTTTGAGGGCAGAGACTGTCCCCATCAACCAATGGTAGGGCTGATTGCTTCCCCTGGTAGTCAAGTTACCTGTAGGAAACTGGGTTTTCAGCAAGGGCTGGAAATGGGCGTGCCATTCTTTTTGTCCCTTACCTGTTCCTAAACCTTGGTCCCTGGAGCTCTTTCTCAAGGCCAGCTCTGTGCTGACTTTTCCTAAAACGAATCACTGAATATCTGAGGCTACGGATGACCTAATATCTTCTATTAAGGATCATTATAATTTCTGTGGCATGCAAATTTTTAAGATAGACAACCTTAAGAGATTTCTGACTTGATGTAATGTTCTTAGAAATGGTTGTATGTATACTCTGATACAAGTATGTGTTTCCAAGCCATAAGTTAGAGTAAGCTTCCAGTTGTTACAAGCTACTGAGTGGCTGTTAAATGTGGTAAAGGATATTGCATTTAAGAGAGAGGGCTATTTTAATGGGATTTTAGATTTAGACTATTTTTCTGTTGTTAGTGAAGTTGTCATTAAGCAACTCACTAGAACTAGATAGTCTTTTTTTGTGTGTTTTGTTTTTTACATTATTTTTATTTTTGAGAGACAGAGCGTGAGCAAGGGAGGGGCAGAGAGGGAGGGAGACACAGAATCCGAAGCAGGCTCCAGGCTCTGAGCTGTCAGCACAGAGCCTGACGCAGGGCTGGCACCCACTAACCATGAGATCATGAGCTGAACTGAAGTTGGACGCTCAACCAGCCAATCCACCCATGTGCCCAAAACTAGATAGATGTCTTCTTGGCTCAACAGACTCTTAATCCTGTTCGTTGTGGGTTCATCTTTGTTTTGTTGTCCTATTAAAATTAGTAACCTGTTTATAATCACGTGATGATAACATTACCACTTATTTCCTGATTTTGAACACTAACAGCCTTAGCTTTTACTCTTACTCATTAGACTTGGTGGTTACAAAAGAGTCCTGGTGTAGGATTGTGAAAGTTGTATAAATCGTTCAAGTAGGTAGAAAGTGTCTGACATGTTCGGGTTCAGAATAATCCTTAAGCAAAAACAGCCTAATCAAAACAAAAATTATTGACTCTGGCTATTTCAAGGGATTCTTTTAGTTGATGTGAAGCAGAGCTCACAAAAGAAGTTTTATCTGCCAATTCTTTTTAATAAAGTAGCAGCCACTGTGACACGTTTTACAAAAGTTACAGTCCCCTTAGCTGAAACTTAAAAAAAAACAACAACAAAACCTCAAACTGGAAACAAGTAAAGTAGAATACTAGTCATGACAAAAATATGAATTTGACTTGTAGTTTGCCATCACAGAGCAACGTGGGGAGGCCCTAACTTTAGCTAATATCAGGAGGACCAGTGTTTTGTCTTTAAGCTGTGCCTGTTTAAAATCAGAATTTATTAGCAAATATCTCCAGGCTGTTTTTTGTGCCTTGTAGAGTATCACTTTAAGTTACATTCTTCCCTGTGGTTGCGTCATTCAGGAACTCCGAAGATATTGGTAATGCACAAACATGCTTTCTGTTTCTAGGCTGGTTTAGAGTGTCATTTGACTTTGAAGAGCAAATCGGTTCCAGAACTGAAAGTGAAATTGAATTAACCAGCTTTTTCTCAGTGACATTTGAAATTATGTCTGGTATAAGAGATTAAGAATTGAAATGCAGAGTATTTCTCTAGCTTTGTTCTCTTGTGACTGTTTATATTCCTGCAACTTCTCTTTGTTGTACAGACCAAGGGCTGGTGCCCCGCCCCCCTCCCCAGGTTGTAAACATGTCTTTCCTATTGCACTGGTGTCTGCAGTGTGTTGCTAATTATAAAACGCAGTCACATGTCTTTCACTTCACCTTGAGAACATCATCTGACTTTGCAGTGTTGCATCAAATCCCTGAGCTGGAGAGCCTGGGAGTAGGGTCCTTACCCCCATGCTGTCCTGTAGCACTCACTGGAGGACATGGGCCCCTGCCCATTAGAGGCCTGACAGCACTGTGATGCCGGATCCTGAGACAGGCAGGAAGTGGTTCCCGTAGGGAGTAATTCTGACTCTCCAATTTAGTGAGCGTCCCTTTGATTTGTTTTTTCAGTTAAAAAAGTGTGTAAAAAAAAATATTGTTTGGAAATGTACAAGTTTTCTATAACTGAGACCTGTATAAGGTTACATATACAAATGAAAATTTGGTTTAAAAAAATCAGCTGAAGTTTTAAGGGCTGAATTAGCAAAGGATAGTGAGTGATGATACATGACGGTTTGTTCAGAATTAAAATGAATCAAAATTACAATTGAGAATGTTAACCTTTATGAGTAAGTTTTTTAAAAATAATTCCTGTTCCATGCTATTCACAATGTGATAAAGAAGTAATGTTTACATATTAACTGACTTCTTTGTGAATGCTACAGAGTTCAATGCAGTGATTTCTAAATCCAGACTAAGGCTATTCGAAATCAAGATTAAGTTTCCAGCACTTCCTGTAAGAATTCTCCCCAATATATCATTCTTTAAAGCCATTCAGTTGTTAACGTAATTGCTAATTTCTAAATGGCTTTTATGCTAAACTGTGGTAGCAATAAATCATATTACGATCAGCAAATGCTATGTAGGTACTTCGTTGTAAAACACAAGTTGACTTTGTACACTTGTATGTGGAAATACAGACTGAGCATCATAGACTTTGGTGGACTTCTGCTTTTCCTTTTGGGATTTAGTAACACCAGGTTTTTTGTCTTACTGATAATGATACAAAATATACACATAGGATTCTTTTTTATGGCAAACTGCATTTTATTCTTTCTTTCTTTCTTTCTTTCTTTCTTTCTTTCTTTCTTTCTTTCTTTCTTTCTTTTTCTTTCTTTCTTTATATTTACAGGTGTTGACTTTAAAATCAAAACCGTAGAGCTACGAGGAAAGAAAATCAGATTACAGATCTGGTAAGTGGGGATGTGCACCCAGTAACACCATGTGTGTTCACAGTCTGTTCGCCTGTCTAATACAATTAACTGTTCAAGCTGGCTTGCCTCTCCTACTTTTCCTCTCCTTTGCTCATCTTTAAATAAAATGAACAATGAGGAAATTTAGAAATGTCTGCGCATTTCATATTTCATTTGCACATGGGGAGCGGTGAAAGAACACTGTTAACTTTAATGATTGGAGCCTCAATGCCTCTTTTCAAAGCATTTGACATAATAGCAAAACTGTCATCGCTTAGATGATTGCTCAAATGCGTGTTTTCACATTTTTCCAGTTACTATTTGATCGCCCGCAAGGAAAGTCCAGCACGCCCCTAACCAGGTGCGCGCAGTTTCAAGGCAGATCCCCCGTAGACGGCTGGGGGGCTGCCCAGGGCGGGCAGAGCGTGAGCACCGCCGTGCGACACGCATGCTCCCCCTGGATGCGTGGCTGGCGGCACGTGACATAAGCCCCACGGGTGCCAGCTGGGTGTGAATCCGCGGCCACTTTCTGGAGAGAAGCCCCTTTGTCGCGGCACCACGCCTGGGCGACCGAGCCAGCCCTGTCGCAGCTGTGCGGCGCCGGGAGCTGTCCGCCCTCCCCCCCCCCCCCCCCCCCCGGGAGACCGACCTGCGGTGCAGCGCGGATCTGGTGGCGGTTTAAACGTGGCACCGCTGAGGGGTTCGAGACCGCCCTCTTGTGTTTAACATCACAGCTGCTGTGTACTCAGCCTACTAACTCCTCTGCAGGTCCGCTCAGCTCTGAGTGTTTGTCCACCATGTGTGTGTTTGCTTTTCATCCGCGTTACTTGCTGCCTCATCTGTGGCATCATCGGTCACCTAATGCTTGAGTGTTAGTGCCATGCCTTCATCCTTCACCCGTGCCCTGGGTGGGGCCCGGCTGCAGCCGAGCGCACTGCCGCCTCCTGGAGGCGTCCCAGGTAATGTCTTCGTTTGGTCTCCTGCGACTCTCCCCCACTTCAAGGCCGGTTTGGGTTTGGGGGTTATTGGCTTGATTTCGAAACATGAACAGTCTTGTCTAAATACTTGATGACAAAAAACGTGGATATATTTTATTAGCCCTTGATTGGAAAGTCCACAAACTTTGTACGCTGCTGCCCATTTTTTGAACTCTGGAGCTAACAGAGGATCTTTCACACGTGCTGTTGTTTCTGATTGTAAGCTCTCTAAGGTAAAGACCCATTTTTTTTTGTTTGTTTTTTTGGGTTTTTTTTTGCAATCCCTATTTTTTTTAATACGAAACTTATTGTCAAATTGGTTTCCATACAGCACCCAGTGCTCATCCCAACAGGTGCCCTCCTCAATGCCCATCACCTACCCTCCTCTCCCTCCCACCCCCCATCAACCTCAGTTTATTTTCAGTTTTTAAGAGTCTCTTATGGTTTGGCTCTCTCCCTCTCTAACTTTTTTTCCTTCCCCTCCCCCATGGTCTTCTGTTAAGTTTCTCAAGGTAAAAGACCGTTATTAAAAGGATCGTCCAGGGGGCGCCTGGGTGGCTAAGTCGGTTAAGCGCCGAATCTTAACTTCAGTTTAGGTCTTGATCTCACGGTGGTGAGTTCAAGCTGGTGCTGGGCATGAAGCCTAGTTTAAAAAAAAAAAAAAAAAAAAAAAAAAAAAAAAAAAAAAAAAAAAAAAAAAAATCATCCAGAGTATGTTTACCTCTGTACCTAGCACGTGTGGGGGAGATACTTTTTGAAGGATACTTTATCCTGAATAAAGGCTTATGTGGCTAATATTAGAATGTCTGAAGCTTGCTTGCTGAATGACAGCAGTGTCTAAGGGATGACCTCAGGGCCTATCTAAAAAGACATACCTTAATTACTGTATTAATATTTCAGTTTTCATCTCAGGCAGTAGTAATCTGACCTGTGAAAAGTATGTCCAGATGTCCTGTGCCTCCCTGGAACTCAGCCCACTAAGACTCTGTGCTTGCTGACATTGGGTACTTCTGGAATTTCACCACGGCGCCTTTGAATCTGATCTGAGAGGGCTTCACCTTACTCGCCCCACCCTGCGGGGAAAAGCCAGAGGGTGCAGTTCGGGAAATGTACAGGACACCCAGGAACCACGTTTCTTTTGGATGTGACCACGTTTCCCAGAGCCACTCCTCTGCTTCTCCTTGACTCTTTCGAAGATTATTAACTGAGGGAGGAAAATGAGGTTCAGTGAGTGTATTTAAAGGTTGATTACAGGTTTCACACAGGGAATATCCCAATGAGTCAGTGAGGAAGGAAGGACTTCTCTTTTCCCGAAGGGGTTTTCAACAGTGAGTAACGTATCCACAAAATGCCTGCCACTTGTTAATCACACAACACTCAAAGTAAGATTGTTGTCTTCTGAAGCTTTTTACATAAAGGATTAAACATTTTCTTCGTTGTTAGGCAGTAGATAGAAAGGAAGTATTGGAGTCGTGGTTCACGATTTAAAGTAATAACATGAGTTACCTCAGAGTTAGAAGCGGTGCTTGTACTCTTGCTGTCATGTCTGCTTTGTCGCGGGCATGCTGTCACCACTTTACTGTCACAGTTGAGGGCCCAGGAGGAGCCAGTGTAGTTGGAGAGGGCTTTTCAAAGAGCCTCAGTAGCCTGTGCTCTGCTAATAATAGCTGTGCTCTGATTTTCTAGAATGTCAGTCCATGGATATTCCCAGTCGATTTTCATAGAGGTCTGATTGGAAGAAGTGCATTTTTTCGTGACAATTTCCATCTGAGAAAATATTAACCGTAGGTTCCTAAGAGTGTAAGTTACCAAAATCTACGGACGGCATCGTCACACTTTCATGCCACGTTTTTATGTCATGGCCACATTTTTCAGTTCCTTGATTATCCGTGGTCAGAAAAAGGACCATTTTCTCATCTCTGCATCTAAAATGTTTCTTCATGTGTGTGTAAAAGACCTTTACGTAAGTGTAGCTAAAATAAAATGTGTCAACTAGAATATAGGTTCATGAATTTACATTCGAATGCCGAATGCCATCCTGAAGATCATACACAGGGACTTTGAATTCTTGTGTCGAAATGGACTTTGGAACTATGACGTTTGTCTCCTACCTTTAGGCAAGCAGAATTAAAATGAATCATCCCTGTCTATCTTGCCAGCATTCTTATGTCAACATCAGGCTCGTTTTTCATCCTCTGCTTGGAAGAGATGGGACATTTCATGCACATTGCAGGACCTTGCCCTGTAGATTCCTAATTACATCTTTAAGTGGATATATTAAATACAACAAGTAAGAATCTTTGAATTTTCAAAGCACAGTTGTATTACGAAACTGGGGAAACAGAATTGCAGGAATCTTTCAGTTTGCACCAAGAGCAGAGAGGGAAATGATCACCTCATATTCCCGCTGCAGCAGGTGACAATTTCCCTGCAATAATACACTGTAAATGTCGAGAAATGAGCTCTTTATCATTGTAATGAAAACTCGGGTTTATGGAGATAAAGAGGGGAAATAGTAGGATTCTGCATCTTCACAGAAAGATAAAAGCACGATCAGTGCATTGGTGTCTTATTAGCATGTGCGGTTTTGAGAAGCAGGAACTTGTGTGGGATTTTTATGGTACTGGTACAGAGTGGGCATGTAATAAATTCTTGTTGAACTGCATTGGCATTTTATTTCCCTATTCTGTGACCATATGTGGTACAGACAATTTAGCAGGGGAAATAAGCAAAGGAGCTTGAGAGGAAAAGAAAACAAATTTGTACAAGCCACATATTTTGGAAATACGGAACAGTCTCTCAAAGGAAGGTGCTTTTCTACCTCAAGCATTCAGAGCCAGGCAAAAGATGGAATTTAAGGAATGACATTAAATGGGAGTGGTGAACTGATGAATGTTTCCTCATTGGGGTTTTTGTAAATGAACTTACTGGTTCGTTTACTTGTGTTGGAATGATTGCCTCAGATTTTGCATTTTGAGGTCTGCCCTCTTTTTTGTGTCTGACTTAAAGCCAGCAGAGACTGCTAATTTCTTAATGTTTTGAACATTGCTAACTGCGCTCAGGCAACAGGTGTTTTTAACTATGAAAAATGCCCTTTAGGGGCAGCCAAGTGGCTCGGTTGGTTAAGCATCCAACTCTTAGTTTCATCTCAGGTCATGATCTCACCATTGTGAGATGGAGCCCCATGTTGGGCCCACACTGGGCTTGGAGCCTGCTTAGGATTCTTGCTTCCCCTCCCTCTCCTTCCCTCCCTCTTCCTCCCTCTCGCCCACGTGTGTGCATCTTCTCTCTTCCTCGCTCCCTCCCTCCCTCTGTCTCTCTTTCTCTCTCTCAAAAGGTGAAAAACAAAAATGCCCTTTACTCTTCCTATTCTTCAACTGTTAGTTTTTTTATTAAAACCTCTAGAAACTTCTGTACAACATTGTACCTGTAGATAACAATACTATATTTTATACCCAAAACTCTTTAAAAAGAGAGTAGATTTCATGCCAAGTCTTCTTACCACCTTAAATAAAAGTAATTTTTTATTGTTGTCTGTTATCTCTAATTTCACTGGTTTTGAGCCCCCACTGTCTAGACTCTAATTCATTGAATGTCTATAGAAATTAATGTCAGCTGAGTTACACTCAATAGCCAGATTAAAGTTGCTTAGAGTAAAGGCTTATTAAACTACATAATTCCCAAAATGTTCCTTGAAGGTCTTAAATCTAATTGCTAAATTTGTGGTGTAGCTATATTGTTTTAACAATTCTACTTTTCAAAGTAGAAAAATGTGTTTTTTAAAAGACAAAAAGGCCTAATTTGATCAAGTCATAACTGTGATATGGGATATGGGATATGGGAAAACTATGCCGTGAAAGACTGAACTCTTTGTTGATTCATAAGTATTAATTATACCCCTATATATGTAGGATTCCAGAAAGAATTGTATTCATTGATTCCTCATGTAAATGAAATGGTATCTGAACCCATTCCTTCTCACTTCCCTTCAAGGTGCAGTGCCTATTAGTGTGGTCTCCAGGGTTTCTTAGGAATCTTGAAGAATTCAGTCCCCATCTATCCTATTCAATTTTCCAGTTTTGTTTGGCATTTCTCGGTCAAAAAATAAAGTTTATTTTGCCTTGAAGTGGCGTCAGCGTCGACACTTTAAATCGGTAACCTTTTGTTCAGCATAGGCTTACTGATGGCCCGCTGTGGACCAGGCATTCTGCCGGACCCTGCTGAACAGAAACAGACCAGCCTTGGCCCTCTTGGGCCTTCCAGTCAAAAGCAGCAGGGGATTCTTATATCCTCTGGAACAAAGCAAACGGTTTTGCTTCATGCGAAAATGAATTTGCCAACAAGCTCTTTTGTTTATTTGGCATGATAACACCATTGCTAATGGGAACTAATTTGGTGGCAAAGCCAGTCTGAACAAAGCCATAAATTACAACCCCGTTGCCAAAGAGTATTTTAGGGATACAGCCCCACAAAGCGCACCTGAAGGGAAGTAGTCTTTGATCAGTTGCATTTGGGAAAATCTGCACGTTCTCACCACCTCTCAAACTCACGTGGAGGCCTTGAGTGGCCCTGCAGTGAAGAACCTTGTTTGTTCGCTGCATTGCCCCCGTCTTAGTACACCATGACCAGCCTGTCTCACGTGACCCCCAGGAGTATGCTGTGAGTTCAGGTTCTTTGGGAAAAGCTAAATTATGGATTGTCTTTAAAGACATTCGTCTCCCCATCAGAAGCCCTGCTGTGTCGGGCTCATTCATAAATACATGATGGTTTTTAGCAGTTTCTTGGCTCATTAGATGGAGAAAATATGTCTCAGCCAGCTGCTATATGCTATTAGTAAGCTTACATCATCCTTTATGTTGAAATGATCGACTTCAGCCTGGAGGATAAATACAACTTTTAGCTTTAGTAGCAGACAATAATGAGCTTTATTGTATTACAAACCTATTTGATGTCTCCTCCCTTCCCCTTTGACCCCTTGTTCTGTTTTAGAAGGATTAAGAAAATACCCTGAGTTTATGATATTTTTCACTAGTGATGGACTCTCGGTCACCTTCTCTACAAAATCAGATACAACCATTGATGCCGGTTAGAAGAGTTTGCAGGGGCACCTGGTTGGCTCAGTTGGTAAAGCACGCAACTCTTGATCTTAGGGTTGTGAGTTCGAGCCCCACACAGGGCACAGAGATCACTTTTAAAAAGCAAGAGGGTTTGAAGAGGATGTAGCTCTTCTGTCATTTTACACATTGTTTTTCTTATTTTTAAAACCTCGGTTTGAGAGAAGTTGGGACTTATGTTTTTGTCTGAATGTAACTAACTCAGAAAAACTTCCTCTCCTCACCACTAATAATGATGCATGTGCATGGATGGGACTAGAATCAGCCTGCAGAGGGGTGGGGAAGAGCCTCCCTTTTGCTTTGGAAGGTGGAGTTGCTCCCTCTGGTTATTGTTTGGGAGCTGATTTTTGCTGTTTCTTAGGGACACAGCAGGGCAGGAGAGATTCAACAGCATTACCTCAGCTTATTACAGAAGTGCCAAGGGGATCATACTAGTATATGATATCACTAAGAAGGAGACTTTTGACGATTTGCCAAAATGGATGAAGATGATCGATAAGGTAGGTGTTTTGTTTTCCTCTGAGAACCTAGGTGAATCCCGTAGACTGAAAGGCAACGACCTCAAGCCTCAGGGCCCCATTAGGTACTCAGTTTGTGAATCTGCTGGGGTCTTGAGATCTAATGCTCTCCCCTCTTTCATACTTGACTCTTGCTGCGTACCTACCTCTTTATGAGTAAGTGCTGTTGTCTTGAGTATTTCCCACGCTTGCTCCGCACCAGCCTCGTCAGGTGGGCACTGTCCCGCTACCCATACATCACTGTCTGATAAGGAGACGGAGACCCTGGAGTAACTAGGCCAACGTCACACCATTCAGGTGCCTTTGCTGCAAACCTGTCTCAAGTAATTGTGTAGAATATGCAAAATTAAATAAATGAGTTGTTCAAGAGACTTTAGTCTTTTTTGAAGAGAGGTCCTACCGTACCTATATTTTTTGAAAACTTAGAACTGTAGCTTAACTTTTTTTTTCCTGATTGTGGGATTAATGATACCTGTCACAATAGAAAATTCGGGGAATCAAACATCAAAGTAAATTTAAAAATGTATAGTTTGGGGGCGCCTGGGTGGCTCAGTCAGTTGAGCATCTGGCTCTTGATTTCGGCTCAGGCCGTGATCCCAGGTCGTGAGCCCCACGTTGAGCTCCACACTGAGCATGGAGCTTGCTTAAGGTTCTCTCTCCCCCTCTGCTCCTCTCCCCGGCTTACTCCCTCTCTCTTAAAAAAAAAAAAAAAAAAAAGTTTCACCATTCTGAAAAACCAAATTGAATCCATATTCCATGTAGTTTTACAGCCTGCTTATTTCCCTGAATATTCTGTCAGGCCAGCCTTCCTGTCCTATTAATGTTCTTCTGAAGCATGGGTAGTTTTGTTTTGTTTTGTTTTTTTAATGGCTGCATTCTTTTTATGTACCTTGAGTTATTTCATTCCCCATCAGTTTTGTCGGACTCTCTTCAGTTGATGACCATCTTAAGCATAGAGCTGTGCCTGTTCTGTGAGCCATTTCCTTAGAAGAGATTCTTAGAAATTACTGGTCAAAGGCTCAGAAGGTTGTGGTTCCTAATGCCTGTTACCCCATCGCTTTCTAAAGCCCTGAGCCCTGTGAGGACGTCTTAGACCCCACCTGAACCAGTCCTGCCTGGGACAGGGTAGCTGCTCAGAGATTTGGGGAGGGGACGAACAGGTAATGGTGGCAACAGAGCAGGTTGGCTTACGTTTCCTGTCAGTGTATGACTGCCCATCGTTGAAATGGAGCTTCTTTTAAAATTCCACAGTATGCCTCAGAGGATGCAGAACTTCTCCTAGTTGGAAATAAGCTGGACTGTGAAACTGACCGAGAAATCACCAGGCAGCAGGGAGAGAAGGTGAGAGATGTGGGGAGCAGAAGGGACATCACTGTCCACGCTGCATTTAGCAGTGGATAGACTTTTTGTCTTTAAATAATTTCTTTAAATTATGAAACAACACAGTCACATTCTTCTCAGTTGTTTGGATTGGAAGGAGCAGGAGGCTTTAGAAAGCATTTCGAAGTGGGGAGAGGATTGTCCGCATCAGTATACACTGCATTATTATCTGTTCTGACATTTGCTACAGAGAAACGTTTCCTAAGCCGTAAAATTGCTTTCATGATTTACTCTCATGTATTATATAACCTTCCTTAGGGAATCGGTGATACCCACATTTTGAATGTCAGATGCATTGCAGTTTTAGAAACTTGGGCAAGTAATTCGACTTGAAGGTCCCAGCATCACGTCATCACGTCATCACGTCAGGGATTTTGTTTCGTGTTGTTAACTTATCATGTAGGGGTTTGGGGCACAGTGAACTCTGAGGTTAAACAAGGGGCTTCACAAACCTTCTGGTCCGCCCCTCCCTGAAAGAGGGAGCCCAAAAAGCTGTGATTCCCCCAGTCCCAGGCCACCTGGCCACACACGAGACCACACTGCACCCCACACAGGAAAAAATGAATCTGTATTCTTAGTTCGCACAGCAGATAACTGGGATGCGGTTCTGTGAAGCAAGTGCCAAGGACAACTTCAACGTGGACGAAATATTTCTGAAGCTGGTTGATGACATTCTGAAAAAGGTAAAATATCCAGAAAATATTTCATCTGAAATTCTTTGTTCCCTCTGTGATGTTTTAGAGAGGGCAGTTAGGGTAGTTATTCGGGGGCTGAAGAACCAGGTGAGGTGGTTAACTTGGCTGGAGGCATCCAGCTGTGGTGACAGCCGTGTCCTGCCCAGGACCTCTCCGTGTCCAGTGCGGTGCCCAGGTTGGCTGAACCCTAAACGTGGTTTGGTGAAGTGACTGGAGCAGGTGTAACGGGGTGCCATGTTTATGTGACATTTGCTTTCCTTTTTTTCCCATTTTCCCACAAGAATTAGATAAAGACAGTGGGGACCTCCTGGAGCTTGTGGGTGTCTCGGGGAGGAGAAAGCCCTGGGCCCTGCCTCCCCCTCAGTGCTATGCTCCCCAGCATAATGGTTCCATTACTCAGGCCTTCCGTGATGCTCAGTTGCAGAAAAATTGCTAGATAGCTTCATTGAACACCAATTTCTTCAAGCATTTGTAGGCTTACAGTCAAAGATTCGTTTAGTATTAAGTGTATGTGCTATTACTACATATAATCTACTAGTTCAAGCATAATTCAGAAGCTTCTAATAAAATGATTGTTTAGGGGCGCCTAGGTGGCTCAGTTGGTTGAGCGTCCGACTTTGGCTCAGGTCACGATCTTGCAGTTGACGATTGGGCTCCGCGTCGGGCTCTGTGCTGACAGCTCGGAGCCTGGAGCCTACTTCGGATTCTGTCTCTCTCTCTCTCTCTCTCTCTCTCTCTCTCTCTCTCTCTCTCTGCCCATCCCCCGCTCATGCTCTGTCTCTCTCCGTCTCAAAAATAAATATAACCATTTTAATTAATTAAATAAATAAAATCATTGTTTATATAATTGCCAAGAGAAGTTTTTTCTTTAGTGAAAGAAACCATAGTCAAATGCAGAACCATTTTTTTTTTTTCTGTATTAATGCATTAAGTTTCCATTATTACTAGGTTCTGGGAAAATATGTTTATGAGATCCATCTGGTTTCTTTTACCATAGGGTATGATGTAAGCTGGGGAGTGTTAGTGCCGTGACACGAAGTATCCTGAACCTGGTTTTCACTTTTTGCCTTTATATTTGAACATCTAATTAAACTTTGATGATTGGAGATCTTTGGAGATCTTTATATAAAAATACTTCGTTCTGGGGCGCCTGGATGGCTCGGTCGGTTGAGCATCTGCTTCTTGATTTTGGCTCAGGTCATGATCTCACAGTTCTGGAGATCGAGCCCCACACCAGTCTCTGCCCATTCCCAGCTCATTTGTACGTGCGCGCTCTCTTGCTCGCTCTCTCTCTCTCTCTCTCTCAAAATACATAAATAAACTTTAAAAAAATACAAATAAAAATACTTTGTTTTCTTATGTAATTTGCAGAGCGCTTACATACACACTGCATGGTTAAATACATCTGTCTTTTTTCTTTATCCTTAAGATGCCTCTGGATATTTTAAGGAACGAGTTGTCCAATAGTATCCTCTCATTACAACCAGAACCCGAGATTCCACCAGAACTGCCTCCACCTCGACCACACGTTCGATGCTGTTGATTTGCTACTTTGGAGACAAAGTGGAAGTGATTCCTGGAAAGGGGAAAATGTTCTCTTCTGCACTACAATCATCTTGACAATTTCCTTTCGCACTTTGTAATCCAAGTCAGAGCTACACACTAACTTGTAAATATGCAAATATGCAATCCTGGGTAAGTTTTGGTTATCGATTCCACATTTCCCTCCAAATTATTACATTTCATCCATTATCCCAGCCTCTAGTGTACATATACTGGGAAGCATAGTACTTCTAATATGAAGAATGGGAGAAATGAAAGGTATAATGTTTCTTGAAATAAATAATATAATTGTCCTCGTTAATTATATTAGGAGGACAGAAGATATTCTGATAAGAAGAAAGAAAGTGGTGCTTCACTTACTGTTTTAAAGAAAATTTGTAAAAGACTTTTTGGGAAAAAAAAAAAAAAGCTATCATAAGTGCTTTTTCTTTATGCACAAGACCTTTCCCCCCAGCCGTAGCATCTCTGAAGTATGGGAGTATTTCTGCCGCAGGCAAAGTTGCGTTCCTAGCCGTCATCGAGGGTTATTTATTGATGTTACGTCACGGTAGAGTGTCGCTGGTTAGAGGGTAGGGGTCGACTTGGTCCTGCAGCCGCAGAATCCCTCTCATGGTATCCTAACGGACATACCCTGTGCTTTTAAGAACTACAAAGATTCAATAAAGAAAGAAGTGTTTTTGAAACTATAGAAGAAGATTTTAAAACAACGCTGCTGTCCTAAACAAATCCTGTTTAAAGGAATTTTAAAGAGATACATTTTACTATATCAAAGAACATACATGTATTTACCTGAACATTCTATACCTTTGTAATGGTAAAACTTCTCCCCTTTATGGTGAAGCTTATTCCCATTAAGCCTAGACTGTGTTTCTTTTTTCTTTTTTCCTTTTTTTTTTTTTTT